ATCTACCGAGGTAAAAAGTGGCCTGTCACTTTATCCCTCCAAGTATCTCCACACAAAAAATCAAGCCAATCCGTCAGTCCGTTTCGACGTGAAAGAAGGACAAACAAACAAACACACTTTTACATTTATAATATTAGTATGGAAGTATGGATAACATTGAGCTAAATCATATTTTTTTGTAGTTTTAACGTGAGCGAAGCCGTAGGTTCTAATGGTTTCGAATATATGTTAACTTCGCGCGGTTGCATTTTTGTTTTGTTGGTTATTAATGATGTTTTAGGAACACTTGGTCTGAGCTTTAATGAATAAATCAGAATTTTTCCATATTTATTTATTTTTGTAAATAGTTTATTTTTTATATTTTTGAGTTTTATAATTATTATTCAGCCTTTTTTAACGTTCCACTGTTGGGCACGGGCCTCCCTTCAATACAAGGGGGATCAGGCCAGAGTCCACCACGCTGGCCAAATGCGGTTTGGCGGACTTCACATGTCTTTCGAAAACTTACTAGGTTCTCTCAGACATGCAGGTTTCCTTACGATGTTTTCCGTCACCTAAGGCAAGTGGTTATAATGTTAGAATTGATTCGCACACGAAAATATCAGAGGTGCGAGACCCGGGATTTGAATCCGCTTCACTAGGTTTCCAAAGCAAGCGCGTTACCACTGGGTTACCACTACCTTAAATGTAAGTTAGTTTTATAATAAATGTTATTTTTCTTCACATACATTCACTTTTTCGAACGGTTTAATATAGTCGAGAATCTTCATAGCATTCCGAGACATAAAGAGGGTGACCCGACGCTATGGCGCCACCTCCCACATCGAACTACAAGCTTGCCCATTACCCTTACATTATATTGAGAATATCAAATTAATTTGCAATTTTATACATCAAAATAATAAGTAGGTATAGGCAAGTGTTAAGAATAATTCATTTAATTTTACAGTTTGATTAGTGCCATTTTTATTAAATCTATAAGTACAGCTAAATAAAATTGAAGTGTTTGTTTGTAATGTCAAAATAACAACTTTTTACTAAATGCTTATAAAAAAACAATTTTTAAAATTTTTGTCTCACTGTCTGTTATAATTAATCTCCGAAACGGCTAAAACGATTTTCATGGGACTTTCACTGGCAGATAGCTGATGTTATAAGCAGTAACTTAGGCAACTTTTATTTTAGAAAACGATTCATTGTGACGATTCAACGATTGTGAACAAAATCCGTGTACCTATCCGACCTATCCGAGAAATGCGAGGGTAAGTCGCTAGTATCTTCTTCATATTGACAATGTTAAATACATACCTGTTACAGAAAATGAAGAAACATGTAGGTATAATGTGAAAATGAAAAGTTTATTGCGTTAAATTATTATGATTATTGCAATTTATAGAGTATGTTAATTAATTATTATTAAACTTAATAACTTATTAATCAAAGTGAACAATACTTTTATTTACAACTAGCGACTCGCCGTCGCTTCGCTTAGGTTCGTCCCTAGCTTGGTTCCCCATACAAACTTTCATCCCCATTTCACCACCTTAAGGAATGATTTCCGGGATAAAAAGTATCCTATGGCCTTCCCAGGGTCTCAAACTATCTTCTTACTAAATTTCATCTAAATCGGTTTTGTAGATCCAGAGATTACCCCCTACTACGTCACGAACTCACAAACTTTACCTCTTTATAATATTACTATAGATTCAGATATAAAATGATGCTGTAAATATATATGAATATTTTATTAAAAGTTGAAGACTAATTTTATTTATTTTTTGTTTTTATTTAAAAGTATAATATAGGTACATAAAACATATTAAACAGCTAACAAAAGCCTTTATGTATATGGATTACATTTAGTACATAAATTTAATCCTGTTAAGTATATAATATATTTGGAAGCTGAAGAAATACACAATCTGGCAACTGTTGATGCTTGGAATACTCATTTATATTAATTGCAGGATCAATCTGCTTGTTTGCTGAGAACACGCTGAAAGAGGGATCTCTTTATATCAGTTAAGAGAGTGTTGTATTTTATGTTGGTACTTTATAAACTAATTTTATGCTAGTTAGTCGCCAACTAAAAAGAGTGAGACTTTAAAAATCCCTATAAAATATCTATACATATAATAAAATTGTAACTAAGCCGAACCTGTACATTAAATAATTAACTTTTTGGAAAATCTTATTGAAATAGACATTACTAGCATTGCCCGCGGCTCCGCTCGCGTTCAGATGACCAAAAACCAATTTATTAGGTTGTACATATTAGTATACTCTTACATTGCAGTTTTTAGAATTTTTGTCTGTCTGTCTGTCTGTCTGTCTGTCTGTCTGTTACCACATCACGGAAAAACCACTTGAGGGATTTTTATGAAATTTGGTATGATGGTAGCTGGTTATCCGAGTCAACATATATAGGATAATTTTTACTGCGGGATAATATCTCATCTCTGAGAAATCTATACTATACGTATATAAGAATCTCCACGTTACATTTTCAAATAGATATACCTACTAGATAAAATTATATAGGGCTTAAGTATATATTTTAACATACCTATCTAATATAAATTATATGTATTCTTCGTAATTAAATAACCTATGTACATATTTCTACATTTTTTATCTACACCAAGTCCCGGTGTTATTCACAGTTACTACTTTGAAGTGCCACTTAGAGTTAATAAGAGCAGAAAATTAAAGAGCATCCGAGCTCTTTTCATTTTAACTTTCAGGTTAACATATTTTCAATTTTCTTATAAGAAAATAACTTCGAAATAAACTAAATCCGCAAAAAATCGCTAAACTTTTATTTAAAACTTTAAACGTCAAATATAGGCGTATATCTAAGATAATATTATAAAATGATAAAACAATCCATCAACTCAGTAAAGAACATTTGAATTTTGTTTTATAAAAGACTTTAATTATCTAGCTTTTTAACTTTTATATATTCATTTAAAATATTTATTATAACTTAATCAGTAAAAATATTTATTCGCAATTTATTGTAACTAGATTTCAGTATACTTTAAATGATTCTGAACACTTCAACCTGACTCTACTCAAATACTTTTAAACTGAGATAAATATCCTCAACTGTATGGTCAATAAAAACATTGCTCTTTACGACCACAGAAGACCATTTGTGACTTCAATTTCAGTAAGTATTTTACGTTGTCATTGCAACGGACGTTATGTATTTAACAGTGCTTAAATTTTTTTAAATAAACTATCTTTTCGGATTATTTCGCGGATATACTTTGATTTTTGGTTCCCGACGTTTCGAATGCTTTACAGCATCCATGGCTACAGACAGCCTACTACTGTAACAACTATACCTTCAAGACATGTAACACCTCAGTCTTTCCCGTGACCATGGATGCTGTAAAGCATTCGAAACGTCGGGAACCAAAAATCAAAATAAATCCGCGAAATAATCCGAAAAGATAGTTTTTTTAAAAATGTCAAACATTCGCGTAAATCTAAGAAAGTATTAAGTGTAACTTTAAATTATATGTTAAAAACATTCATATACCTAGTTAGTAGTGAATCACGTAAGATTTACCTTAAAACTTTAAACAATTCAGATATAACAAAGTCTTCAGAACTTTGCATAATTTAGTCATAACTTTTAATTACAATTACCTACCTAACATGTCTAAGTCATTATTCATACAATATTTATGCTCGTATATGAACGCTTACACTTGATGAGGATTCTCTCTCAGGAATACATACTAATTGGTACTTGCTGCTTAATATTTCATTAATATTTGATTTCAAATTATGTTTTTGGACTTGATTTAGCTGTTTAAGTTTTTATATAATTTATGATATTAAGAAACGTATGCTATAATGTGTAAAATATCTCAATTTACTATTTTTTATGTGGCAAAAATATCCTTGTAAGCTTATTTTTATTACATATTCTGTGTAGATTAAAAAAAAATTTAGTACATATACACAACTAGTGACTTACACTCGCTTCGCTCGAGTGCGTTCCTAGGTACGTGCACATAGAGTTACTACAGTAGGAAGGTCCTTTTAAGAGGACTAATTCTATAATACATTGTTTTTATATAACTTTATTAGTTTACGCGGCGCACGCCAATAAAGCTCCTAGTCGGCATGATTTTCCCGACATCTTCAACAATCATCGTCATATTTCAGACAATTTACACAAAACCTTAATGAATTATACACTTAAACTTTCCTCGTGAATCACTCCATCTATTCGTGAAAACCGCATGAAAATCCATTCGGTAGTTTTTGAATTTATCGCGTTCAGACAGTCAGAGAAACGTGGCGGGACATTTTATTTTATAATGTCTATAGAATAGATATGCAAAAAATAGTGTTTGTCTAACTGTTGTTCGTAGTCTGTGGCGAGTTGTTAGAGCTGTAGACAGGGAGCGACCTACTTCGCGCCCGCTCGATGGCGAGCGCTGCCCGCCCGCCCAGAATAGACGCAGCACGTGCGTCCGCCGCGACAAACGTCGCCGGTCGCTCGCGGCAGAGCTTCGACTCGCATTACGTACTACTTACGTACAATTCGCGTCCAACAAACTAAATAGTCGTGTTGTGATTTATAGTGTAGAACTTTTCCTTATGCACAAATATTATTTTCACGTCAAATAATATTTCAAAATTTATTTTCACGCAATCCTAATTTATTTATAACCTCGAAGAGTTAGAAAGTAAATATTTCTATCGCTTTCCTATCGTAGTGGCCTTGCTTGTTATCGCACCGGTGAAAGCTTATTGTCACGTTTTCGATAGTTGTGATCGTTCTATTTCTGTAAAAGTTTTGTGATTTTAATATAGTAAATTTTAATAATTGTTATATGTGTATGAGATTAGAATAGATTAGAGAGATACAAAAAACCGTAACGATGTGCCTTATTCAGTAATACTATCGTTTTTATGCCTCCGCTGTTGAACTGTAATACAGGAATTAATTGTGTGTAAGACTGACTCAGTCCCCAAGGATGATGCACGGTTACAAATACGTCGGCCTTCTACTGACTTTGTTACTTCTACCGTATTTTGCACCTGCTACACCAAACAAGTCACCACCTGACACGTATGAAACTTTATATTTATTTACTAAAACTTTTTGTTTAATACTGTATTATTTTGTACGACAGATGCTTGAAATATGTATGTAATTAAGATATTTGTATCTTACTACACAACATACAAAAGTTCAAGACTGCTAAAATGTAATGCAGAAACACAATTATAAGTTTAAATATTCGAACAGTACTCAGCGCATGGATTACATCAGTTCAAGGTTACCTCACTGAAAACATCATAATATTGAAAACACTAGATCTCGTAAATACAGAAATAAACTTGAACTTCTTATCTAAATTTATATATGAAAATACAATTAAGAAATGTAGTTTTTAAAATACTACCAACCTTAAATTTAGTTAGTTGAAATTTTAACTTAAAAAAGGTTGTAGGTATATATAACTTAACTAGCGACTCACCCTCATTCCACTCGGATCCCTTGTTACGTTTCAACGTTTAGTATAGATATTCTCATAGATATTTCTCAGAGATGAGATAAAAAGTATCCCGCAGTAAAAAGCATCTTATATGTTGACCCGGGTAACCAGCTATCATCATACCAAATTTTATCTAAATCTGTCTAGAGATTTTCTCTTAATTTCGCAGACAGACTGACAAACAAATAGACAAAAATTCTAAAAACTATAGATTCAATAATAATGACTATTACAATTAGATTTTCCAAAAAATATTTTATGTACAGATTTGACTCACAATTTTATTACATACATACGAGTATATGTATAGATTACATTTCTTGGTACGATTACCCGCCTGTGATAAATTACATACACATGGGCTTTACTTTTAGTAAACAACTTTATTTTCAAGCTCTTATAATTCTTAGGGTAAAACAATGGGCGAGAACTTTAGGTGAAGAATTATGGCGACTGAGCGAGTCCTTGACGAAATCAGATCAAATCAGAATTGTAAGTAACGACATTTACGTTTTAATTAAGACGATGGATTGGTACGAACCAGTATTGATTAAACATTTGCAGCCTATCAAATCATGCTAGTAATGTAATTAAGTAACTCTTATAGTTTTCTTTAATCAATTGAGATTTATTTTAGTGGAATATTTTGAAGTATATTATTATTGAAGTGGCTTGGTCCTCTTTTAGTTATACTATCAGAGTTAGATACAAAAGTTTTGAAGATCTCCTTTTTAAAAAAGAATGTGGAGCATTGCCAGAACTCTCACTTATATATTTCTTTACAGAAATACAAAGATATGAATGCTAGTGTTAAGCGAAAAGATGGAAAGCAAATATTGGAATCGTCTTTGGATTCTGTTAGTAGGATGCTCACAAGGAAAATTAACGCAGTAAAGGTAATATTTTATTTTAACGAAAAACAAAGAATTCAATTAATCAAAACAAAGTGGATTTATTTCTTTAATTAAACGTGACCTGGAAAATTATGACATGTACATCTAATTTTTTCAGTGCATTCACGGCACAGCTGAACGATTAGCAGCCAATTTTAATTATTCAATAGTAAAAGATAAACAGTATAATTTTACATATTGCTCTGCTAAATATTCAAAATTCTTTCTTGAAAATGGATCACTGATTCCTGATGAAGAAGAAGAACAACCAAAATTTACTAAAAATAATCCAAATTACGAGAACATTACGCTCGAAAAAGACTCCCATTTCTATGATATCAGCGTTAATACAAACAAAAGTTGTGTTCACGTACCGACTAATATTTTTTATAAAGGTAAATAAAATATACTAAATATTTATTTAAAGTAAATAATACATATACATTAATATGTATATGTATTATTTATAATATGTTTAATAACAAATTTAATCTTTCAGAGGATGATCCATTAGGAGCCATTTTGTGGTCTAAAGAATTAACCGATACATTCTTAAATAATTATAATTCGGATCCGTCATTGGCTTGGCAATATTTCGGAAGCTCCCATGGTGTTCTGCGTTTCTATCCAGGCATGCCATGGAATAAGAAAACAGTAGATACTTACGATTGTAGAGTTAAATCCTGGTATATAGAAGCAGCTACGTGTTCCAAAGATGTTATAATCCTTTTTGATGTTTCCGGCTCAATGACTGGTTTTAAGAATTATGTAGCAAGAAGAACTTTAGGATCTTTATTGGCAACGTTGTCAAATAACGATTATGTGAACGTGTTTACGTTTAGCGCCAAAACTTTAGAAGTTGTGAAATGTTTCAAAGGCCTAGTCCAAGCAACACCAGAAAATTTAAAAACAATAAAAGTCGCTTTAGAACCGACAGAGGAAGGCAAGAAACCTTCAGTCCCATTGGAAGGCAACGCCAATTTAACAACAGCTTATATTACAGCATTTACGACTCTAAAAGAGGTGTAGTATTTACTTCATATGTTTTTAAGGGTTTGAATTTTTTTATAAAATAATTTAATATACATGTAATTTAAATTTCAATTAGATTTTATCATATAATTTTATTTAATATGTAAAACATGCTTCTAAGTATGTTGGCATTGAAAATCGTAGCGTATCAAATAATAGTTTCTACTTTCTAGGATAAGAGGTAATTTTATAATTAATTATTTTTAGAAAAGAAAACATTGTGATGTAAGTAGTCCACAAGGGTGTAATCAACTAGTGATGGTAATCACAGATTATGTGCCCGGTAATCTTACGGAAGTATTTGAAGAATATAATAGGGAGACAATAGGTGACAAGACGTATATACCGGTCAGAGTGTTCACTTATCTAATAGGAAAAGAAGTCACTAACGTAAGAGAAATACAGTGGATGGCGTGTTTGAACAGAGGTATTTAAATCGAATTTTGTTCTATTTCCTTGTAATATTTCTACAGCAGGCTTTAAAATTTTGTTACATATAATATAGAAATTCGTAGAATATATTTGTAAAATAAGAATGAACAAGTAAAATATTGTATTAATGTGGTTTAGGTTATTTCGTCCATATTCACTCTGTAGAAGAAGTGCAGCAGCAAGTCTTAAAGTATATCAATGTGATTGCACGCCCAATGATTCTTGCGGGTGAGGAGCCCCCTCCCACCTGGACTCACGCTAACATCGATTATACGGTAAGCTTCGAGTATTCTCATTAACATATTTGAGCTATTATCTTTTTATGGAAGAGATTGTTTAAATAACTTCCTACAATATAAGGCTTTCTCATTACCAACTCACAATTTGATGGGAATATTAATAATTGTTTGGGTATTTTGGTACACTTTTGGGGATTCTTTTCTTAGGAAGGAGAATAAAAAGTGATTAATTTATTTAAAATCTACTATTAGGCACTGCGAAAATTAGTACTTTTTGTATATTAAAAAATATACTTTTTTCTTTCACAAATACATCTTTCCTATAATAATTTAATCGTGTAATTTAAAAGTCTAATTGTCCATTTTTTCATTTTTTTTGGTAATATCTCATTGTCAAAGATATATTACAATTGTTATTATAGGCCAACGGCGTTTTTAGATTTGGCAAAAATCAATCAAACTTGACAACTTGTGTGGCTGAACAAAAAAGTGGCTTGGAAACATGTATCTCAATTTTAAAGACATATCCAGAGATTGGCTTTAGTAGGCTTTAGTAGACTTAATTTATTTTCTTCGTTCCTTACTTACATGTAACGAGTATGTGTTTTTTTTAATTTTTATAATTTTACTGCAAAGTTGTATTGTCGTTTATATATTATTCAATTTTAGTTATGTCAAGTCAAGAATTACGTTTTTGCCTCTAGCTATGGAATCCTATAAACAACCTTCAAGTATAGTCAAGCAACTTACCTTTATTTCGTCCGAATTCGTCCTTAAGAGTCTTTTTACCAGATTGCAAGGAAAGGGTTATGTTTTTCGCGCCTATCTTTGTATGTTTGTATGTTTGTGGGGGCTGCTAGATTTCATAATGTGAAAAAGAAAAAAAAAGAAAATTGACGAACTATGTCAAGTGAGGTATCGTTGAATAGGTATTTTAAAATCATTTTTAGGTTTCTTTCATTATTTCTCATTTTAAATAACAGTTCAGGATATATAATGATTTAAAGTTGGTTAACAACCATTCTCGCTAATTTTCCTACTTAAAAAGCGGTAAATAAATAAATATATTATAAAAATAACAAACCCGATTGCATAAAAGCTAACTAAAAAGATGAAAACAAGTTCACGATGGAATATAGTATTATGCAGATGGAATATAGTACCTACATCATATCAAAATTGGCGGAGTATTACGTAGCACGCAAACATGTGATTACACCATATGAATTGAATTGGGAACCTCTTTCCTTTTGATATCGGCAAAAAATATGAAAAAGGTCACGTTAATGTAAGTTTGGCAAAAGTTATTCAAACAAACTAATATCTACTTGTTGTTAGCTGGATCAATACGTACCTACTTACATGGTTTGAAAAGTATGGAAAGTTACATTCATCGTATATAATATTATGTTCCTACCTTAGTAATAACCTATAATAGCCTTACTGAATCGGATCGTACTTGTGGGAACCTATTAATAAGCAATTTGCAAGAAGTATTCTTTGACTACCACTATATTATACAACTTGCTACCCAATACAAACTTTCATCCCCATTTTCACCCCCTTAAGGGATGATTTCTGGAATAAAAAGTACCCTATGTCCTTTCCAAGGTCTCAAACTATCTTCTTACCAAATTTCATCTAAATCGGTTCAGTAGATCCAGAGATTACCACCTATAACGTCACAAATTCATAAACTCGCAATTCACAAACTTTACCTCTTTATAATATTAGTGTAGATAACTAGCGACTTACCCTCGCTTCGCTCGGGTGTTTCTTTAGGTACATTTTTTTAAACTATTGTTTAACATAAATACGTAAATTAGTATTATTTAATAGACTAACCGTAGGACAGTTTGTACAAACCGTGACATTTTTCTTAGAGAATTTTTATACCCGTCATAACTTCTAAACGAAAAGTCCGTTCCGAATCATTTAAAGTGGAATTTACATGTACATAATCAACCTTAATTATTAAACTATTTGAATGGATAAGAATTAATATCACAATACCAATTTCACCACTATTCGATTCCACCCGTATTTGAATTTAATAATTTAAACAAAAACTGTTATTATGTTAAAATATATACGTAATTGAAATATGTTTAACTGAATTTATTAATTATAACTATTTTAGGACACATACATGTAGATATGTGCATGCTTAGTCTACGTTAAGTATATTTTATGTAAGTTAAGTAAATAATTTGCTTAGTATAATTTAAGGTTTCTCTTCGTGTATTTATGAGTGTTTTAATTTTTAACAGAGAACCGCGGAGTGGGGTGTGAGCAGTGACGTGACAAAGGTAGGTACATTTAAATACATTAAACTTTGAACATGCATAAAGCTTTTATATGTACCGATTATACTTACTTTAATGACCCAATAAAAACATAATTGTGAGGTAGTTTTGTAACGAAAAATTATTATTGTTATGATGTATGTACTCGTACATGAGGTCTGGGATCGAAAATTAAAGTACATCTTTATTATAGATGTTTTATTGATGGCAGTTCACAACACACGCGGTACATGCACAGTTCTAGCTTAACTCACTCTCTGAGCACTCTTTTCCGCCACGAGTTGCCCTATGGTTTTACTCCATTTCTTCATCTTTCATCTTCTCGTAGCTTCGTAATTAGACTGCCCTCTCGACACACCACCGCTCTGATTATATTCATAAACAAAAAACATTCTAGTATTCGAAAATCGCGTTTCTAGTAGTAATCTCAATTCCTTTTATAAATCTTTTGTTCGTCTCTCACTCACGGCAGTTTACGATTAATTGTTCTTGTCACTAATTATCGTCTTTGGATAAATTAAACATGCTGCAGACGTGCCATTTTTAATTATTATTTTTCCTGTGTACGTTACACGCTCTCCAGTACGCGTCATTATTTTGATTATTATTTGTTTTTATAAAGTTAAATTAAATAGTACTTATAATTAAACTTAAAAAGAATGTCTTAATCAAATTGCTAGTAGAGCTATAGTACTTATATAATGAGTGTCTCACATCTTAGACGGAAGACAAAGTGTAGCGAGAGCCACTCGACGCGACCTCCACTTTCAATTCAAATTCAAATGAAGAAAGACAAAACAAGACTTCTTAGTTATTTCTTTTATAATACTTATATTTATAAAGAAGCTTAAAGTAGAATTTATATTAAAAAAACTAGTAGGTAATTCATTATGTAACTAGTTTTTAAAACTAACAAACTTATTCATAGTTAGATACTTATTTAACAAAACTTATTTTAAATTTCATCATTCAACAAAACTTGAAAAAACATGTTTTTTTTTTCAATTTCATGAAATCATTCAGTAACGGATATATTCATAAAATTACTGTCATGACAGTACATAAAGCAATAGCTTTAAAACAAATACTTACGTACATATGGACCAAATATATTTTGCGATATTTCTCAAATCTTGTAAATAAAAACTACTTATGTGTATTAAATATTTACTTATTTCATATTTGTAGCCCGATGAAGATAAGTTGGTGACATCAGTGGCGATTCCTGCGTTTGATTACAAGCACAACGAAGAACACAACGACGCTCTTCTGCTAGGAGTTGCCGGCACTGATGTTCCTATTGACAGTATCGCAAAACTCGCACAACCTCATCAAGTAAGTAATACAATTATTAATACAGATATTTAAATAAATCAATTATAAATAGCTGTATAATCATATGCTGGATTAACAAGTGGGCTCTTTGTATTGACACATCTATGCCAGTAACGGGGCGGGCAAAATCTAGTTACCTACATTAGACCAATCGAATCCGTTTATTTTTAAGAGAAAAAATTATATTTATTTATATTTATAAAAAAATATTGAAAACTTGATGTTGTGTAATTTTAAAATGTTAGCAGGTAGATAAGGAGTAGAAATTCGTAAAATACCCCCGATGTCCGGTTACCCCCGAGAAATGGGGGACGAAAAGCGTTGAAAAATAGTTTTTTTCAATTTCCGGCTTACTGTGGCGTTCTATCGAAAAATGATTTCTACAAAAGTTGTAGGTCTAATAAAAATCTGCTAACATTTTAAAATCATACAACTTTAGGTTTTCAATATTTTGTTTCCAAACCGGATTCCGATTGGACTACATGGTAGCTTTACAATAAAGAAATTCCAATGAAATAACTAATTCATGTGGTGCGTGCAAATTTTGTGTTAACCTGGTAAATACTTATTTATTTAAGATCCTTTACTTGTCTTCTAGCTCGGTGTTAATGGATATTCGTTTATAGTAAGCAACAATGGATATTTATTGCTGCATCCGCTATTAATTACAACAGTAAGTATTTTCATATTTAAATCTAAACAATATATATTTAAATCTAAATAAAAGTATGTATAACAACCGAGTCAGGGGGATGTAAAAAGAGAAATAGATGAAATTCAGATATATTTTTTTCAAATTTTTTGTTTCCCTGTCTGTTTGTCTGTTTGTACGGGATAATCTCTGAAACTGTTGGACCTATTTAAATTAAATTTTGCATTGTGGTATTATATCCCCGGTTAACATTTTAGATACTTTTCATCTCTTAAAATTAAGGAGTTCCCGTGGGATAGTTAAAAAATTATAGTAACTTATACAGCTTAGTGCACAACAACTTATGTACCTAATTTAGTAAAATTCGGTATGCTGATACCCTATATTGCCGGTCAAACAAAAGGTTACTTTTTATCCCGGAAAAATGAACGGTTCCCGTGTGATAGATATGTTTGTGCTTGTCTACAATAATAATGTTATCAACACTTGTATAATTGACTTAATTTACTTATATATTTTTTTAGATAAATAATAAACTACAAGAAAATTACAACAGCGTAGATTTCGTAGAAGTAGAACAAGTAGACGATGGTAAAGGGCCACGTGAATTAGGCGAGCAAATAAAGATGCTTAGAGAAAGCTTAGTGAATGGAGCAGAGGGAAGTATGAAGAAAGTTAAAGTTCTGTTCCATTACGATAATATGAGGCGAGTTTATAAAAAATAGTAACATTATATACAGTTTAAAGGATATTATTATTTCATTGTATAGTTTGTTTAATAAAATATCTCCAATTCGAGATTAGTAAATTCATTTTAGGTGTCATTCATCAACTGTCTCGGATTATTAGCTTTATTTTCTGTATTATCAGGAGGATTTCTCGGGTGCAACACGACTATTTCTTTAACAAATTGGTAGGCACGCCATTTTCCATGGGCATATCTTTGCCTGATGGATACGGAGATACTGAACTGTTGTTAAAAGACAATCCTTTAGAAGCAAAACAGGGCCAAGATCTTCTTGGTATCAATGTCACTAGTTTCTTCGATTTTACATACAGAGTTCACCCTGATTGGTAAGTACTATTTTTGTATTCTGTACCACGTATGTTACGATATCTATGATATGTCTATAGATCTTGTATATGCTTAAACTATTTAATCCCTCAACGACTGCGGATACGCCGGCGTTACAGTTAACAATAGATTTCTTAGAAATTTAATTAATTTCTTAGAAATTTACCTGGAGGTTTTAATTAAATGACAAAAACTATAAAAAAATATGTACATTAAGTTATACATAATTATTAATTTCAGGGTCTATTGTAAATACCACTACTTGGAAGGCCATGAATCTCAAAATGCAGAAATTGAAATTTTTAAGTTCTTAGCTAATATATCAAGAAACGAGCTTAATATTAGTAAAGCTCAATACGGGCAGGAAACTGAAAATCTACCCTTCAATTTAGACAGTACGTAGTCAAAATATCTTATCTTTACATTCTTTTATATAACTCCCTCGGCAATATCTTAGTTTTTGTTTTTTCTTATATAGTATATATTATGCAAATATTTTTGGCGCAAATTGTGGTTCCCTATAATCAGGGAAACTTTCAACAATCAAAAGTTAAATATGATAATATAAAACGTGTTTAATTGTTTACCCAGTTGGGCACCCTGTTAAATAATTTTAATAGACAAATAAGTAAATAAACATTAACACTCTATAAATTTTATTGTTTTTTTTGGTTACAGCGCATTGTGGTACAACGCCATTGGGTAAAGATGACTATTATTGTACGGAAGATTTAGTAAAGCAGTTAGTCTTCGACGCAAAGCTTTCTACTCCTTATTTTAGAACTTGGGAATCGAGTGATGAAGAACAAGCTTTAGCTGAAAAGTATAATGTCAGTGTTCGATTCATAGCCACCTCCAGTGGTCTTACACGTTGGCATTATATTTTTGATGACGATAAAAACGAGGTGGTGGACGAAATGGGAGTCCCACACAAAAATTACTCTGGAAAGTAAGTTACTTCTATTGGATGATAATATTGATTGTAAAGGTACAAAATTATAACATACGTGCCAGCATTAGTATTTATTCGGTATTACACATATATCATTTTTAATCCCTCAACGACCGCAGACACGCCAGCGTTACAGTTAACAATAGATTTCTTAGAAATTTACCTGGAGGTGTTAACATTCAATGATGATTTTGTAATATTTTTTTAAACGAAATGTTTATTATAATTAATACTATGTTTCATGAAATTGTTAAAATTTTTAAATTATTTATAATTTAAGGGTATTTGGTGACTATTACTACAATGCAATTGAAGAAACCTGGTATAAAGCTGCAGTATTACAACATATGATTGACAAAGAGTCCTTAGTGATTGCAACAAAACTACCTGTACTTGACGACTCCATCAAATCTCCACCACTTATAGAAAACGAGGATGGCGATATTGTAGTGACTGCTAGTTATGCTATATTTTATAGAGATTATAAATCAGAAACACCTGCTGCTGTTGTAGGTTTTCAATATTTATACTCAAATTTTCACGAGATATTTTTTAGTATGACTGGAAAAAATACTGATGATAATGGGGTGAGTTAAACATATAACAGTTCTGTTCTTTATAATTTAAAAAAGATATTTTTCGTTAAATAATTTGCAATAAACATTTCTTATAATAAACATTTACAAGTATTTTGTAAGAAGATTCATTACTTTAATTTGCATTCATTTTCAGGTATCTTGTACTGAAGATGGAAAATATAGATGTTACGTTATTGACAGCTCAGGATATATAGTTGTGGGTATGGACAAGTCTGAAGTTGGACAGTTTTTTGGTGTCATAGACGATCTTTCAGGAGTATTACAGTCTTTGATAGATAAGAATATATTTGACAATGTGGAAGTCTTCAACTACCAAGCTTTATGTCCTCCAAATCCCAATGAAAAGAGTAGTGCATTTTCAATAGATACCGTATGTTGAATGTTTTTAATTGTGATTAGTATAGTTAAAATATTATTAATTATATTACATTCTACTAATTCTTTTGTGTTTCAGCCGCTAAATGTACTATCATATTTTTTTAAATGGTTGTTAACTGAGGCCTTGTTAGTATTATTCAACGTCTTTAATTGGAATTCTTATACGTATTCTGCTTCTATTGATTATGGTGAGTTGTAATAAAAAAACAATACAATATTAAATTATTCTACTATTAATTGAAGTGCTATAATGTTAATTATAGTTAGTCATTTAAAAGTCTTATTTTTCAGATACTGTCACTGAAGACGCATATATTCAAACTACCACAATGATAAATGATGATAACATAACAATTGGTTCATCAGAAAATAATACTGATAAATCTAAGGAAACAGTAAATGAAGAACTCTATTCATGTGATCATAGAATTTCGTTGTATATACTAAACCAACAGTATTTCTTGAATTCATCCATGGGTCTTTATCCTGTAGTAAGTGAAGAGACAGCTGGGGACTGTCACCCTGCATATTGGGCTACTCTCGTTACAAAAACAAATTTACTCCTTCTAGTAGTAGATACACATCATCCAAAATTTATGACTGATTGCAAGAAACCACCAGATACAAAGCCTACACACACGAGTAATTCAACAGAAAGTAGAGAACCCTGTCATAAGTTAGACTTAGGTCGGTTACCTAGACGTCGCCTTGAAGGATGCTTTACTTACCATGATAAGGTATATTTACTATTTTTACTTACATATAACGCAAAAATTTTTTACTTATGAGGAATGTAATATACACATGTATGTGCATTATAATAAGTAGAAATTAATTATATGAAATGAATGAATAAATGGCTAAAAATTATATTTTATGATATTGTGGAATATGAATATGGAACTAATTAAATCGATTGAATAAATAATTACATTGGTTCTAAGCTGTACGTTTTGATCTTAGGAATATTCTTCCCATGTCAAAACCTAATAAATTTTATGTTTTGTTTAAATATTAGGTTGATCGATATTTTTTAAAATAAGGACTAACAGCTTGCCAGAAATGCAACCAGCAATAGCGAGTAGCTACGAAATCCTCGTATTGTTACAAAATTCTGTTTCTTTATAAAATGAAAAAAAAGTAATGGATGGGTTTTTTATGTAATTACTAGCAGTAATTAGACCGCGGCTTCGCCTGCGCTCACTCCAGCTTCACATCTCCTGGCGAGGTAATCTGAAGATTGCCTGAAAATTTCATCAAAATCGCTTCAGCCGTTTTGGAGTTCAAGGGGAACGTACATACACACATCGATTACATATTGATTCGATCGATTAGATTATATATTGATTACTCATCTTTCTGTAGAGACAACAATGCGTGTTATATCTAATTATATCAATAGAACTGTTTGTTTATGTGTTGCGTAAGATCCAAACAACGTAACACTCACGTAAATATAAAAACCTTGTTATTCGCGATCTTTTTTAGTAGCGTTTTGTACAATTTCAGTACTTCAGTTTTTATTCAATGGAGGTTGAAGTAGTATACAACTAAAATTAAATTGTTCAATTACTGTGCGATTGATATCTTCAAAAACAACTGTTGATTTTCTCAGCGACTCTTCGTAGCAGAACTGCCGCCTAAGTCGGTAGTAGCTTCCTTACAGACTTACAACACTAAAATTTAATTTATATGTTAAAATTTATTCAGTGCTTATAAAAAGTCTATTGAAATTAAAAAAAATACTTTGACTTTAAATCTCTTCAACGCTTTAGGCAAATCTTATCACCATGCAACGTAGTGCTAAAGTGCTTGAACTTTTATTCTTAAGGATTAATAAAGGTTTTTATATTTATTTAATGTGAAGTAAACTAAATCCGTGAAATCTTATTGCAATTTTTCAGATAAAACAATTACCTACAGTTTAAAATAAAGAACCTTTTTTTTCAGGAAAGAAATATTACTGTATGCGGCGTGGGAAGTAACATCAGAGTTAATATTTTTATATTTATTACTATGCTTTTTTTGGCATTCCTAGCTTCAATGATATTTTCATGATAAATTATGAATATTTGGTACTAACGTCCTATAGATTTGTACCTTTCTTACTTTGAGAATAAAAACTATTTACTCTTTAATATTGTTATTGTTATTTCCACCCCATTTTTGCATTTCCATATTATAGTATTTCTATTTATCAACTTTATGCAGTATCTGCATCGATAGCATAGTGACCTAGTGAATTAATGTGCACAAATCGATGTACAGGTAGCTCAACGAAACCACAAGTAATGCTTACATACATTGATACACAATACACATACAGTGAAACGAAAATGTTATCGTAAGCATGCGACCTTACAGTTGTGCCGCGCAAGGAGCGCAGAGCGCATGCCTAGCCGACGCTCCTTCGCGATTGCGCACTGTGCCCTCTCCGCCTAATGTCGTTATCAATGTCGAGTACTCCATAGAACAAGCAGTCCACATACTTTCGTAATCATAAAACCTGAAAACAGCTCATTTAGTGCAACTAGTGTCTATAAAAAGCAAAATATACTCGAACATGGATTAGATGTAAACTCAGTGAATACTAGTTGGGGCCAAATTAGATTAAGAGATTCTAATGTGCTACCGTACTGGTATTTTCGTATTATTACTGCTGCTATTATCCTTGGAATCCAGGGATTGCTCTGCTAGTATACAATATGAGGTACCACACAAAATTTCTTTTAACACGTAAGTATTTGAATTAGTTTATTTAGCCGGTAGATTATATATATATATATATATATATATATATATATATATATATATATATATATATATATATTATTTTGTATAAAAGTCAGAAAATAATCATGATCCTCTTATTTGTAGCGTACAAGCATGGGCGGTTAAACTTGGTACAGAATTATACCATTTTGGTGAATTTATCACCAGAAAGAAAGAAGTACAAGACGTAAGCACTTTTTTATTAATTTCCTAAATTATTTTTTAATATATTTTATTAAACTGACATTTTTTGTAGAGCTTCAAGTCTGCCCAAATCGAATCTAGAGATGGAGAAAAGTTAGTTCAAAATATGGCAGACGACATACGAGCAATGATGGAATTAAAGATTAGTGCCGTTAAACGTATAGTAGAAGCAGCTGAAAACATGGCATTTGATAAACAAAACGAACCAGTACCAGAAGATTTTCAGTTTTATAACAGCAAAGAAATGGAAGATCCCTTAGAAGATCAATCAATGACAACAACACCTGAACCAGAATTTAGCATGGAGTATTGGATCAATAGACCGCCATCAAAAAATGCACACCTACAGCAAAACCATCATTTTTCTAATATACCCGTTAACACTAATTTTAGTAGTGTGCATGTCCCAACAAATGTTTATACTTGGGGTGAGTAATATGTTTAGAAAATGCATACTTTAATGTTTTTTACTTATAAGAGGCTTGAAATGGGAAATTTATGTTTTAAATTTTAATAATTATAGCACCTGATGTCATCAAAGGTATTCACTGGTCAGAAGGCTTAGATACGCACTTTATAAATAATTACCAAAGCGATCCCACATTGTCTTGGCAATATTTTGGTAGTTCTACAGGATTCATGAGACATTATCCAGGTAATTGCCTGAAAAAAATAACAATATTCTTACTGGAGATAAAATTAACGATAAAACTATATTCAATATAAACAGTTATAAAGTATATTAAAGTACCTAATAAAATATTAATATTTAAAATTTTGTAGCAATGAAATGGCGTGCAGACCCAGTTGATATTTATGATTGTCGTACGAGAGCATGGTATATGGAAGCTGCGGCAAGTCCTAAAGATGTCGTTATACTAGTAGACCGTAGCGGATCCATGACAGGCCAAAGAAGAGATATAGCTAAACATGTGGTCACTAATATTTTAGATACACTTGGTAACAATGATTTTGTGAGCGTAATGACTTTTGCTGATACTGTGGAAGAAATCGTACCTTGTTTTGAAGATTCTCTTGTCCAAGTATGAAAAAAATCATGTAAATATTATAATTAAGTAGATGTAACATAAAAAGTTAACAAATAATTAAATATATTTATAGGCAACGTTAGCAAATCTACGTGAATTAAAATTAGCACTAGACAATTTCGAAACGATGGAAATAGCAAATTTTTCAGCGGCTTTGACTAGGGCATTCGAATTACTTGAAATTTATAGAAACAACAGTGGAGGAGCTAACTGTAATCAGGTAAACAAAGTTTATTAAGAAAAATAAGTTTTATGTTTTAAAAATTTTACGAACTTAAATTTAAAATTAGTTTCATCAGTTTATTTTGTTTTTCACAGCGTTAATTAAAAAAATAATTGTTTGCTTGTGTTCTTTTTATAGGCTATCATGCTTGTTACCGATGGTGTTCCATACAACTACAAGGAGCTATTTGAAAGATACAATTGGAAGTACGAGACCCCGGTGCGAGTGTTCACATATCTGATAGGTCGCGAGGTAAAGGTAGTACCATTCCAGGTATTACTGTGTGTTGTAGTCATTGTGCGACCTGCATAATGTAATCCTTGTACCTTCTACCAGTACACCTTGAATGTGGTACTCTTCTTTCTTCTATTACCTATTATATTAATGCATGTTATAATATCATACTACGAATAATTATGGTATATTTAGTTCCATTTCCATTCTCCATTAATAAATTGCTTTGCTTGCAGTGTTTTGTTTTCTGTAATATTTATTTCTAATATATAATTTTATTTATTTATTGTAAAAGTTAGGCTATTTTTTGCATGGTTTTTGTATAGTGTATGTCCGTGTAACTAATTGAAATCATTTTTCCTTTTATAGAGTTTTTATATTATACAATATTTACTGTAATATTTTTTCAGTAGATCTTTTAATAGGTCAATTAAATTTTATTTTTCTTAAATGCAGTTTAATTAGTTTTTAATTTGACGCTTTTAGTGTCTTGAAAGTAATACAAATCAGAAATTCGCTGTAGCCTTTTTAACGTAATGCTTTCCCCACAAGGCTGCATCGATATCATGTCACTCGTACATAGAATCAAGCACTATCATATCCATCTTATTTGAATTGAATAATATCTGTTGAGGTTATAACAGGTGGCGGACGTCAGGGAAGTGAAATGGATGGCTTGTGCTAATAGAGGATTTTACGTACATCTAAGTACGTTAGCAGAGGTACGGGAGAGAGTGTTGGAGCATGTAAATGTTCTGGCAAGACCTTTAGTCTTGCAGCGTGAAAAACATCCCATTGTATGGACTCCTGTTTATGCCAACGTAACGGTAAATATTTCGATTACCTATAATTGATAATATTTTTTTGCTTAGTATTGAAAGCTTAAATTATTTTAATATGTTTTTCTTAGGATCCTAAAGTAGCAGATTACTTGTGGGAACAGCGAGAAAGGGCAGAGCAAAAAGAAAGATTTATGAGTCAACGTCGGGATAAAGTTCTTTTTAATTCCGAAAAAGAACAGAATAGAAGGTGGAGGATAACGCAGGTACATTTGCGCCCAAACATATAACATACTTTTTAAAATCAGAAGTATAAATGTTTAAATCCTAAAATAATATATATATATATACGTACATATACCTAAAAATAATACAAATTATTGAAATAAAATTTAAATATTTCCATAGGTGCGTTTACTATACCTATTAAATATTGAGCTAGCAAATCTCTCCGGCAGCTTCATTTCATAAAAGCTTAAAATCAATTATAATAATTATTTAGGGTTTTAATTCCGGAAGTGTAATTGAAATTTAAACAGGTGCATTTAATTTTAGATGAAACAGGGTCAGTATAGTGAACTCGGAAATTCTCAATATCAACTGATGACGTCAGTATCAATGCCAGTTTATGATTTACGACACAACGAGGTATGTTCCCGTTTAGTATATTATCAATTCTTTTATATACGTCCCTTTCTTTTTTGAGATATTTGAAAAAAAGAAAACCAAGGGTAAATTGACACTTTCATTAACAAAAATAAATGGAATCCCCTTTGTTCTCTTTTTTTTTCTTTAATTAAACTGTAAACCAACTATTCCAAATTTAAAATTGTCTTATGCATGTCAAAATTAATGAAGATTTTTACAGATTGGTTTATATGTTTCCTACTAATTGGACGTAAGCTGTCTCCTTCTTTTTACCTTTATCTGAATGTAATATTAGTTCATCAATAATATGTGTAAATGAGTGCCTTTTTAATAATATTCGGTTTTGATGGTTTCCCCTCAGAACATCACAGAGAATGTACTGATAAATGAAGCTTACTGGGTATCAGTTACAAAAGAGGTACTACACTTAGAAAGTTTTGATGATTTTAATGTAAAGTTTTTGCAAGATACAAGAAAGTTTTTATGATTTAGTTTTTTGGATTTCAGTAACGGTAAAATCTTGTTTGGCCCCGTTAGCGATGCATCTGTCTTCGATAGATGCGTCGGTGATCGGTCGCTAGCCGACTGACGATATGTTGTTTAACCCTTTTGGCTTACTGTAGTATGGTAGTTTTCTACTAGTCGTAGGCGTAGACCACTAGGGTGTTATGAATTAACTTTTCTATCAGTAATCAAAGTTATTACTTTTGTGCAAGAATTACGATCTATATTACGCACACTATCTTATCAACATAACGTATTTTTTGCCTGAATTTAGCAATGTCTTCGTAGAGACATTTTTAACGATTGACTTGTATTATGAGAGTAAATGTAAATATTTTTCATTCAGAATTTTCTGCAGCCCACCATGTGAGACGAATGGGGCTTTTGTTACTTGAGTATTTGTTAAGTTTAAAACATTGTATCTAAGAATGAAAAAACTTTAAATATACTAAATAAAGACTTTTAGTGTAAATATAAGTTTTCTCATTGATAGAGGAGACATTTAATTACTACTGGAGGTTGTTACAATGCATTTACCTATATGTTATTAATTTTATTGCATTCGTACGACAACAACCAATCGCAGTCCGTAGAGGAGAACGGCCAGAAGGAGGTAGGCACTCGCTCTCATAGACTACAGTGACGGCTGAATGATGATGAATGCAAGCGAATGTAACTGAAAATCTGTTACAAGTCTACCGCGTGAAATATCCGTGTAAATGTTACAGGAAAGACTCATATTTATATGAAAAAAATATATAAAATATATGAAAGTTTATTATTTATTATATTTATATGAAAAATTAACAATACTACTATTAAAATGGTACTATAAATATGGACTTTTAATGTACTTATTCTGAGGATCTTCACGCGACTGACTTGCCAAAGAGTTAAATAAAATATTTTAATACATTGTTCTGAGCACAAAATTAAATTATAATTAACATGAAATTTGAAGTTTATTTGACCTACCAACAAATTAAAAAGTTAATTTAAAAATAGTTGATAAAATCACACTTTACAAATATTTTTTCAATTATGCAATAATCTACTTTGAATGCAATAAGTACTATTTTCTTATTTATCTTTCAAATTGCTTTGATTTATGCAATTATTTACAATGTCAACAGATTCTAACAATGGACCGAGAAGGGTACCAGCCCATCTAGAACGTAGTGGGTTTTAGTATACAGAGTAGTTTTTTAATACGATAAAAATCGTAATTTTTGATTGCGTAGAGTGCTAGAACCTGTACTGAAGAATAACTTAACTTAGAATATTAAAATAATGTAGTTCGTAAGCATATTTATACCTAACGGGGCGTAGATGCTAGACGAAAGATAACTATTTGCTAGATAACAACTTTAATATTAATAATATTTTGTAGATTTAATAATTAATTATATTATATAGGGGTTGAGTAGATATAATCATCATTAATGCATTGTTGTAAATTTTTATTTAACATCTACTAACCATATACCATTTTTGGATGTTTAGCATTTTCGTCGAATTTTAAACTTGTTTTATATACAATTTATTAGTGAATTATATTTTATTGTTTTTATAATATGAATAAGTCTCTTAAATTTGCAGATGCGTATTGCTAGATTGCTTGGAGTCGCTGGAACTGATGTACCTCTTTCTGAAATTCAGGCGTTAATGACCCCTTATAAGGTAACATAAATGTTAATAAAAATATTTAATGGTCTACTGATATATGGTTTTTGATATACTTATTTCTATTTTTATATATATATGCAATTTAGAAGTGAATATATTTTGGTACTTGAATAAGACCTTTTGACATAGTACTAATATCGGTAATGCACGTACATATGTAATAATACGCCATATTTTATATTGTACGTTATATTTTAGGTTGGAGTAAACGGTTATGCGTTTATGGTAACAAATAATGGATATATACTTATTCATCCAGATTTAAGACCTGTCGTACGTATTCAACATATAATATACATATCAGATAAAAAAATCGACAATCAACAATATTAATCAAATGTCTGTTTACAGTTTCAACAAATTTTAAAACCAAGTTACAACAGTGTAGACATGATTGAGGTGGAATTGTTTGACGATGACAGATCCCCTAGAAATTTCAGTAAAGAATTAACAGCGGTAAGCAACGCGCTTATTATCCAATGTTGAGTTTATTAGAGTATTCTTAAGTACTTGCAACTTTTAGATGCTGTCAAGTTGCAGGTTATAAGATATATCCTACTTACAATCTATAGTAATATTATAAAGAGTGAGTTTGTGACATTCTAGGGGTAATCTTTGGGTCTACTGAACCGATTTAAATGAAATTTGGTAGGAAGATAGTTTAAGACCCCGGAAGGGCACAGGATACTTTTAATCCCGGAAATCATTCCTTAAGGGGGTCAAAATGGGGTTGAAAGTTTGTATGGGAAATCAACCCAGGGACGAACCCGAGCGAAGCGAGGGTGAGTCGCAAGTTACAATATAAAGACCAGTCGGACATGAGCTTTGCGTTACGTATAGATTCAAAATTTGTATAATGTAGAGCATCCCTAGTAAGTAAACTCATTATACTCTACTAAATATATCTTCCTCGTCTTCGCAAGGACATTTGAATCAGACTACACAGCAACAGACGAACTAATACTGCAACAGATTTTTGCATAGATATTGTTACCCAATGAATGTCATGAACTTATTTAACTAAAGTAATATATGAAGTGGTTCCCTTGGGATATCACTTATTAGTATATTGCAATGAGTTAGCCGTTAGCTGTAGGTAATTAATGTCAGAGCAAAGTGAGGGCCAGCCATTAATATGTAAATAAAAAGAATTATCTATATGTCACCATAAATATAGTTGCAAACAAGATAGTGAACTAGTCAAAATACTGCCTTAACTGTTCATATATTAAATCGTGAACTGCCTCATGGCCTCGTTGTAAACAGATTCAGAGGTCCATTACTGAAATGAGTCAAGGGTATACATATTATTAGTATCATTATAACGTATTAAATCATATTATATATTTTTTCAGTTAAGAAAAGAAATTATAGATCAGAAAACTGGAAATAAATTGATGAACATTAAATATCATATGGAAGACATGGTATGTACCTCTATTTAGTTAAAAGTGCATCATAAATATTACTACGAGTATGTGTACCTATATCAAAACAGTCAAATCTTGTTATTCTATCTGTAGTAGAAACGCTATTCATACTATCCATACTATAGTATTACAATATTGCTGAGTGCCTCGGTGGTTTAGTGGTGGCTAGCATGTACGGCTGCACACTCGGAGGTCCTGGGATCGAGCCCCGGGTCGGGCCAAGTTTAGTTATTGAATCTTTTTACCGCGGGGTATTATCTCATTCCCACGGGAAAACACGCAATAATACAACCCAAAAAAATATTTACGATCAGAATTACTTGAAACTTGGTATTAACACTCTTCAATATTATTAAATAAATACGTGTATTAGTATTTTTCAAAATTCATCCCATAAGGGGGTAAAATAGGAGATCAGTTTTAGCGCGAGCGAAGCCGCGGGTTCTGCTAATATTATATATTTTTAATTCGTTGTTTTCTGCTCTTAATTCAAGCCGTAATAGATTAAGCATTCATTTTTCAGAAACGAGTATCACGAGGCAAAAGACATTACTTTTGGACTGGAATAAGCGATTCACCGTTTACATTAGTAGTATCTATTCCTGAAAACTACGGTCGCCACCGAATAACGCCACCGCCTACGGATGATATTCATCGACTCTCGTTAACGTCTAAAAATATATCGGCTCGTCAATATTTATCAGATAAATGGAGCGTTCATCCCGATTGGTATGTACATTAATATTAGGAACTCGGCTTATTTTTAAAGAAAACTTAGCGCATCTCTTGATTCTCATCAAACTCCAAAGTTTTCTCCTATTGTATAATAGGTTGTCCGAAAAATAACTCAACAAGTAATTTTGATAAAAGTTAGAAGCTTTTATTGTTAACAATTCATTTTTTTATTTACTTATAGAGTATACAGTTTAAAGGGTTATGTATAGAATTGCAAATGGCCTCTGCGGTTTAGCTTGCACATTCATTTTTTTTTACGAAATTTTCCATGATTGTTTCGTTTAAGACGTGGTTGGCATCTAGTTAACTTTTCTTATTTCAAATTTAATATACAGATATTTTATATACCATATTTCATTTTCGTGTAATATCAATATTTTCTTTATATAAGAGAATAATTTATTAAATTTTAGGTTGTATTGTCGTCATTACGAGCGCACTTTTGCTTCGCCGGAAGATGAGCTATTGTATTTCTTGGAGAGGGTCGCGAAGCCCGGTTGGCGTTGGCCGGCGAAGCCTCGTCCTCCGGAGCATCACAAAAATAAGGGACACGAGCGGCATAACGAAGGTAAGAAAGAACAATGTAGATATTACAAAATTAATATAAATTACATTTTTTTAATAATAGGCAGAATAAAAATCAATTATTATGAATTATTATGATTATATTACAGGAATTGACGCAAGAGAAAGAAATAAAGCTCCCAATCTTACCCCGCGAAATGAATACTATTGTAAGTATAAGAAATGAAGATAAAATTGTACAACGATTTAGATGCATTAAAATAACATTGACAAGCGTACAAATTTATAAAAGTCCGAATGAAATTATAGAAAGCTTGGTCTTTAAGGGCGGACCAAAAAGCTAACATTTAATGTAACATGAAATGTAAATATTTATATCGGTATCAATTTATATAATTTATTACTCAGGTGATCATGGATTAATGCAGGCTCTGGTTTACGATGCAAGGAACACGGCGTGGTTCAACAAGAGTATTTCTGAATCTGCGTCTGATGATAAGGCGTAAGTACTACATCTTAAATTATGTACTTTTAACATTACCTAAATACAAAATCGATTCCACTCAAAAAAATATAGATTTATTCAATATACTTTATTACATGTAGTCAAAATATCACATTTTTATGAATTTACAAAACACTTATTCTGGAAAATATTTATGTTATTTGTTGCCTGGATAGCCCATTGACTAAAGTGATCGGATTACTGCCGAGGTAAAGTATGCCATAGGTTGAACTGTACAATAATATTAATATAATAATTTAATCTCCATATACGTATGTATGTATACTAGTATTATTACGTCAACACGTTTCTTTATGTACATATATTTATAAGTACGTGTTTTGGTAGTTTTCAAACTGTGCAGCTTTGGAATATGTAAGTATAATATTATAAGATCTGAGATAGGATGTTTACAAATGTTTCAAAATATGCTGCAGATGGACGTAAGTAAGTTTTATTTAAATAATTCATATTTAAAAAAATCTTTAAGCATATACGACATAACTATACGATTGTGAACACCTCGCGGTTAAATTTAACAAATTAATTGTTAATCGAGTTACCTGTGGCTCGGCAGTCGTTGACAGGTTAAATGAAACTTCATATCAAGGTAGTACTAAAAACTAGTAGGTTAGTAGGAGCAGAAATGATGATGGATAATATAATGTTGTATGACGTAGGAAAAAGCTAAAAGATATTTTTTACCCGACTGCACGGAAAGGGTTATGTTTTTCGCGCCTATCTTTGTAGGTATGTTTATTTGTAATATTCTTTATTCCCTCATATCTTCGAAACCACTCAATGGATTTCTTTAATTAAGGTATCGTTAGATTCGTCTCATTAGTCCAAGTGTTCTTAGATAGGTGACATAAAAAAATTAAATATGGGGGCTTCTAGATTCCATAATGTGAAAAAGAATAAAATGAAAATCGACGAACTATGTAGGTATGTCAAGTGAGGTATCGTTGAACTTATTTAAAAATAATTTTTAGGTTTCTTTCAAAAATTTTCATTTTACATAACAGTTTAGGATATATAATGATTTAAAGTTGGTTAACAGCCATTCTCGCTAATTTTCCTACTAAATTATACTTAAAAAGCTGTAAATAAATAAATATATTATAAAAATAAAAAAACCGAATGCATAAAGGCTAACTAACTCGTGAACTTGTTTGCACCTTTTTAGTTAGCTTTTATGCAGTCGGGTTTTTTATTTTTATAATATATTTATTTGCTTCTTTATACGGACGCTCCTAAACACAGTTGAATAGGTACTTATGTATTATCAGTCAAGATATATTTTATACAATTAGGTAAACTTTACATTACCCATACTTACATTTTCTGTTACATACATCTGTATGATTAATATAAAAATGTTTTGCACGAACTGTACCATATTATGCCTCCTTCTACTTAGTATGCTAGCACTGTTATATAGTAAATTACAAAACTTATTGATAAATAATAAAATAGTAATTATATTTAACTGTTATATAGTTGCTGTTATATACTATATAATATACTCACTCCTATCGAGGAGTGTATGTATCGACATATTATAGTATATAGATTCTGTAATATTATATTGTTTAAACTGATTTAAGGTGAAATGATGCTTTCATTTCCTTCAACAATTTTTCCTTTCCAGACTTATGATGATTGATTAATTATAATAGCTGAGTTTAAATTGAAGATTTTAAGTTAAATGAGACGGTTGTCCATAGGGCCGAGTTTATACAACGATTCGGGTACATAGTGGCATTCCTTGCGACACACAGTGGACTCACGCGCTGGCAAACTCATCCTCCGAAGGACCATGATGACAAGTAGGTTGACTCGTCGAAAAATCCATACCTTAGTAGCTTACCCTTTTAATTCTTTGGAATTAATTAATAAGTAGTATATTTAAAGAACGTGATAGACTTGACATGCAGCTATAGCCCTCTAGGTAAGATCTTGCTGATACTTAATCATTTTTTTTTAATTTAAGTAAGAATACCTAACATTGGTAAGCATCAATAAAGTTTAAATAATTAGTAATTGATTTTATACCATGTAGGGCTGAATTTGGCAAGCAATGGCCACGAGCAATAGATGAAGTGTGGTATCGTCGAGCCGTCGAGCAACATTACGTGGACCCCTTGAGTTTTGTATACAGTGTCGATCTTAGCACGGACAAATTCCCATTGAATGTCTCATCGGCGATGGTGACAGCTGCGCATGCTGTTTTCCATGGAGATGGACACAGAAAGGCACCAGCAGCAGTTGTTGGATTCCAGTTTAAGCATGAAAGATTGAGCGAGTGGTTCGACAATATAACATCTTCGGTAAGTCAGAAGAAGTTAAAAACGAAGAGTTAAAAATTTACAATTTTTTTTTTGCTTTTTTAGATTTTTCATATTTTTTGATTTGATTTATTAGATTAGGTAGGACTCGGTCTTTAATGTTGTTATTTTCTTTTCTCAGTCTTTATTTAGCCTTTGAATATTTCAAAAACAAATCAGTACAATAAAATAGAATTATTTAAAAACAAAAAAAAAGAATATATTTTAAATGCTTTAATAGCTAGGGTGCTAGTAGGTATTGGTCCAGTACATACGAGGGGAGGGAGGGGAGCTATGTGTCTACGTCTCGCTAGCAATAACGAATATTACCATATTATAATTTTCTTTTCCAGTGTGAACATAATAAAGAATGTGTCACTTGCCAATCATCGGAAAACTGGGATTGTTATTTAGTGGATAGCAATGGATGGATCGTCGTAAGCAAAGACTCCAATCAAACTGGGCAGTTCTTTGGGAAAGTAAGTTATGGTGACGGGTTAACTGTGTTTGTTATTTATCTAATTAATGACTATTTTCTTCTAATTCGTGTATATTTATACACTGTTCAGATAAGACCGGATATTATGATGAGGCTTGTTGAAGAAGATGTTTATAAAGCTGTCCATATTATCGACTATCAAGCGGTGTGCTTCCGGGAGAAAAAAATTACAAATCCTGCATCTACACTATTAACGGTATGTTTATATAAAATATACTTATATGCGACAATTGTACCTATTTTAAGTTATTTTACGATAAAGATATTTAAATTGGATGTTTTCTAACCTTTCAGCCTCTTGAAAATTTACGTCTCATTATGGTATGGTTCCTCACAACCACCCTGTGGCTCTATAACTCGATAGCGGTTGGTTCAGCACAGGCCTCGAGTTACTCATTCGACTACGGTATGTTTTATGTTATCGTATATCGATGTTTCGTGTACTATTTAACTGTCATTGCATAATTGATTGATAAAATTAGTCGAGGCAACTTAAGTTAGTAAATGGAATATTTTGTTTAAAACAATTTATAATATCGATGTTGCTCTTACGCGTTGTCAGCATGGTCTGTATTTGCATGACAACGAGCACTAAGTCAGTCTCTGTTAATAACTATATTTGTGCTAGTTCCTTAGATGTGCTACTCTGCGATTGGCATTATACAATTACTTATTTGTGGACTGACAAAAACGGTATTAAGAGATACTACAGGTTTCCTTCAATTTTCCCTAAGATATTTCAATAGAAACCAAATATAAGAGTACTTACCAGTTTCTCTTTGACTTCCTAATTCTTTCTCACACCAACTATTCGAAGTTACTTGACGCACAATATCTAGGATTCAATAATATAAATGCATGCAATGGTCTCCGATCGACTCGGGATTCTCTTAGTTTATAGATACGCCAAAATTCAATCATGGAGTCATCAATTGGATGTAGCCAAAATGTTTTATGACAGTAGTAACGACTCCATCTTGTTTTCAGACTTTGTTACACCCACTGGTGAGTTTATAGATCGAGCACAGTAGACAGTGTTACTCAATGGCACTGATGGAATTTTCGAACATCTTTATATTTTACATTTCTCTGTTAATAATATGTAGATATTCGGAATGTGCATGTTTCTTAAATTATTAAAAATTGATGATATCTAAACAAATGATAAACAATCATGTCCAATTTTAAGATGTTATTTATACCTAGTATAAATGTGATAGACAGTTGCTATGCATGAAATCTGCGTTGTTAACAAAAAAAGCTTTTATCAGCCCGATCGCATAAAGCTCTAATGTTGTGTATATTTTCGATCAATCCCAATACGAGTAAGCTTTTCAGTATTTTCTTTAAATGCCCTTTGCCAAATTTGTTTTCTTTTTTAATAAATGTTTATAGTGGCAGCATGCGACTTTTAAATAATGCTTCCAAGGACAAAACATTTCCGTATAAGCTTAACGTATTTTATAATGTAATATTTTCTTCCTTTTTTTCATGTAGGCAACTAAATAGGACATATTAATTTATGATTTTTTAAAATTTCCTGTACATGGTAAATAAAAACATAAAATTTTTAAGGATTGATCTAGAAAGTTCAAAGAGTTGATAAACTTAATTTAAAAAAAAAATCTTGCATGTACCATTATTGCCAGCGTGTATAGTATCCGTGACATTTATTTTTTTTACTACACAGTGGCCTACCAGAATTACGAAAATGATGAAGACACAGACGATCCTTCGATGTCGAAACCACCCTCACGAATGCTAGAAAGAGATTTTGAGAAACTCGTACTTATAAATAGAACTCGACCAACTCCTTGTGACAGGGAGATGTTTTTATACCAATTGGATTATAAGAATCTAGATGAAAAACTGAATAAACCTATGCGAGGATGTGAAAGACCGTTTTATGTGCAATTAGTCAATTACACGAACATGTTGTTAATAGTGGTGGACGCAATCTGCCCTCAAAAGGAAATGTCCTCGTTGTCAATCGATGCTACAGAAGTTCAATATAATGAATCGCTGCCCTGTTTGAAACATATGCATCCACTTTATAGGAAGCAGCCTAATTCGTGCATCCGAAATCATACTGAGGTATATATACTATGAAACATATATATAGAGTAATTAATAATTCAGCCATTTCTAACGTCCCGCTGCTAGGAACGGGCCTTCCCTACATGTGAGGAGGAACAAGATAACAAGTAACATAGTCTACCACGCTGGTCAAATACGGGTCGGTGGTCTTCACAACCTTGACAGACTTCCAAAACTATAAGTTAAATATTTTCGTTTGTCATATAAGCAAGTGGTTTTCATGTTAAAAAATTATTCGTTTATGTAAGACTTAGAGATGTGAGAACCGGGATTTGAACCCATATTACTAAATTGTCAAAACAATCGCCTTACGTTATTAGGGCTACCTCAACATATTATACAAACCCTAAAAAATTTAGTAAATCCTATATTTATTTACTTGGCTTAATATTTTATTTTGTAATATATATATGTATTCATAAAAAAAATATTTATTTATTCGTTAACGTTTGTAAAATTTTCAGGAAAGCAATATTGACATGTGTGGACGAGGTAGTTTACCGCATAGAAACCTGCTTTGGGTGCCTCTAGCCTTCTTTACATTTCTTCGGTATTTGTAAAAACTAGCCAAAAATTTTAAAAAGAAAGCTCATTATTCATAGTTATTAGTTCCAAAGAATTTAGTTACCACTAGTTGTTGAATAAGAGAAGAAAATCTAATAATTTGTTATCATATATATTTGATTATGTTAAGTAACAAATTACATTTCATATAACATATCAATAACTAATATATTCCTATTTAGGGCATGGCCTCAAAGAGCCGTAACGCAAATTATCATATCAAGTAGTTTTAAAATATCCTTATAAATACTTTGGAGAACAACACTACGATATCGCGTTATATACATATTAAGTTATTATATTACAATATACATTACTATTTGAGTTTTTTTCATTTATTTTTATATTATTTTCAAATAAATTGAAGTAAAAAATCAATTTTCTTTAAAATTTTGTAGGTACTTATTTCATTTAAAAGATTTAAATTAAGAACCTTTATATACTATATTTGTACTTGTACTATGATATCTTATATAGAGAAATTCTTTTTATATATTATGTATAATGCGATATCTTATGTACTTATACCAGGTGCAATTTAATTTTATATAATCAAAGTCATTTATATGTAACTGCTATGTATTAGATTATTTATTTATTTATTATTAATAGGATATAAATTTGTTTTGAATTGAAATTTTATCTTAATCAATTTACATAACTTGATTATTTATAATTATATTTTTAAGAACTGTAAACTGCTTATTTGAATCAGTTTGATTGATTGTTCCGTCCTGGTAATATTTTTCACTGGGAATGGAATATTGCTAACAATCCTTTATATAATTGTTATTTATTATTAATATTTAAAAAACAATACATACCTGATTATAGATTAATATTTGAATCTCGTAAATTAAATGTAAATTGTGTAATTTTAAATATATTGAAAAAATATTAAATTTTCCTTATTTTATGAAATTGTGATTCATTTGGTACAAAATAAATGTTTGATATATTTTAAAGCTTTTTATTTAAAACAATATCTAACAATTGAATAAATATCAAAATTAGCCACAAGCTTTGATCACACATGCAATATGTGCAAAGTAATCACTAACAGCACAGTATCATTGGCTTATTTGTCACTTTCTTAATATACTTTTAGTTTTTTATAAGTTAAGAGTAGTTAATTTGATTTAAGCCGAGGAAACAATAATAATTTCTGCCATCCACAAACTATCCCATTAGAACAAAATATGCCACAAGGATTGTGTTATTTCATGACTAATTTACTTTAAAAAAATCTATTTAAAATGTATCTTCTAATTAAAGTTTGATGCATGTTCTAACCACTTTAACTGAAGTATTAACTTTTCCCACTGGTTTCCGCTTTATATCTCGTTATGAACTCATTGATCTCAGTCATCAGAACTTCATACCGCTGTTGACGCAACAAGGATTCTTGTAGTTGCTCTAGCTGTTCCCCACCTGCCATGAAAGTTTTTAAACTATGAGTTGTGCCACCTCCCTCCCTGTGCTCAGTCACTCTGTCTTGGGGATAATTATATGTTCTTATCTTTTCATTCCTATTGCTAGATCCAATCTGAAATATAAAAATATGATTGTAAAAAAAATGTACATTAATATACATATATAAGTTTATTTGATATTTAAATTATAATTACATAAACAGAAATTAAGTAATGATTTTTTTGTGTAATAAGTTATAATTATAATGATACCGGAAAGCTTATTTAATTCAACAGAGTTCCTAAACATTAACTTACATTAAGATGTGTAATGTAATTAAGGGATTGTTATTAGATGAAAAAGTTTGTTAATAATTTGTTTCATAGTTACAAAATAAATATTATACCTGTGATTTTCTTTCGCTGTTTATTTTTGATGATTGCTCATTTTCTTGTTTCTGAAGTAATAAAGTCCTTAACTTTTGTAAAGCTATTTGTTTATTTTTTATTTGGGATCTACCTTCTTGACATTCTACCACAGTGCCAGTTGGAATATGAGTTACGCGAACAGCACTATCTGTTGTGTTTACATGTTGACCACCAGCTCCACTTGCTCTTTTAGTTTCAATAGTTAAATCACGATCAGCTATCTCTAATTCAATCTCACTGGGTAAAGGTAAAACAGCTACTGAAACAGTACTAGTGTGTATGCGACCTCCTTTTTCTGTAACTGGAATTCTCTGAACACGATGCACTCCTGCTTCAATCTTCATCAATTCAGGTGCACCTACTCCTTGTACTAATAAAGATCCTTTTCTAATTCCACCGATATCAGATTTTTCTAAAGAGGCTATATCAACTTCCCAATCCTTGTATTTGGCATATTCATGATACATATCGAAAAGTTCCTTCGCGAAAAGCATTGATTCCTGACCCCCAGCACCTGCAGTGACTTCTATCATAATACCACCTTCAGTTACATATGGTTCTAATAAAATAGACTGCAGATCCTCATCAGCTTCTTTAAGTCTTTTTAAATATATTTCAGCTTCCTCTTTAATCATTTTTTTAACCTCTTCATCTTTACCTTCTCGGCTGTTGAGTTCTTTTAGAGATTGTATACTCTCGAAAAGTGCAATTCTTTGCTCAAGCACCTTTACTATTGGTTTTATTTCTTGAAGGCGTTTCGTATCTTCAGCATTTTTTCGAATTTTCGTTTGTAAGGTTTCATGTTCTAGCACTAAATTTTTCAAATAAGTTTGTATAACTGGATCGGATAAGTTGATTGTACTTTGTGAAGAATATCGCCGTAATAGTGCAAGACTCTCTAACTTGCAAAATGATCTTAAGCACATGAACCTTGATAAAGACATGCCTATATTTTTTTAATAATCACGGTGTAAATATTATACCACTAAATTGGATTTTGAATGTGTTCTGTGTTGTGTAATGTCAAAATCACATTTTTATATAATTGACATTGACATTTGAACTAAAAAAATATTTTGCGGTGGCTGATTACCGAAAAAATCAAGTGATAACACAACATTTTTATTAATATATACACATATATATTTATATAAAAATATATTGAATTGTAAAGTTCATTTTCTTTAAAGTTTTTATAATAATTTTATTTATAAGGATTATCCTCTGTGACATCTAGTGTCGAGTAGCACATACTTAAGTTTATAGTTTTTACATGTTGTATCTAGATGACGCCACTAAGGTAATATATTCAAAACTACTGACAAAAAAATTATGATCAAAGATTTTTCTGTTACGTGATGTTATGCTTTGAATAATAAATATTTTTTTCAATAAGTATTGATTGACTTGTATTATAGTAAATTAAAATTCATTAAATAAATGATTGAATTTTTAAATTTATGTGTATTATATAATAAGTACCTAAGTACCTTTTTTTTTTATTTAACGAGGGGGAAATCTTCTAAAGATATCCAACCAACGTACGAGATATTAGGATATGCAGGATTTTTACCTACTACAACCCCCTCGGTTACCATCTACTGCGTATAACGGAAAGCACCGGGATCTCTTTAAGAACGCACCGGTACTCTCCTTGCGCTATGCTACATTAAGCGCATCTCTAGACACAACAGTCCTCTAAAAGTTTAGGGATGCTTCCATGGTCCTATGTCTATTTAACAAGTACCTAAGTACCCAGTTAGCCTACGTATTAAATTATGGAGCTGCGCCATAGGTATACCTACCTATACCTATATATAACCTACCTAGTGATAAACTGGTTTACACGGAGTAGTAAAATTGTACATAATAAAATAATATACATAATTAGAAATCATGAATAATATTATTTTAATTAAAAGTAATTTATAAATTAAAATATTTAACAGGAAATATTTCACAAATTTAAATTAATGTGGAATATCTATTGATTTTACTTTAAAGAAATATTAATTTTTAATCCCTCAACGACCGCGGTCACGCTGGCGTTACAGTTAACAATAGATTTCTTAGATTTTTAATTAATTTCTTAGAAATTTACCTGGAGGTGATAATAATGTAACAGTCAATATCTTAAAAATTGAACTGATTTTTCGAGTTACTAATTTTGTACTTATTAATTATTACATTTAAAAATTCTGAAATATTATTGTTTTATTTAATAAAATTAAATTATAAATTATGGATACTTTACTGATTTTTAGGATGATTTTATAAAAATTTAATTAAAATGTTACTTCCGGCTTATTGATATAAAAATGTAACTCGTATTATCCGTTGAAGAGTCACTTTTTTACAGACGGTCATTACTCCAGAAAAGATAAGTATTAGTTGTTAAAATAATATTGAATTTATGCTGGCTAACTTATTGATCCAAATAGTGGTGAACTTATGTGTATAAAGTGAAAAGATAAAGCGTTTTCCTGTGATTGGTTAAATAGTAGTGATATAAAGTAATCGTTAAAATTACATTTATTTGTGATATATTAAATAGAAATACGAAAATTGAAGTGACATTATTAAATCTTGTAGAGTAAAAAGTGATAATGTAAAGCTTATGGCATTGGTTTACTGTGTTCTTAATTTCCTCGTCCTGAAATTATATGTTCATTTACGCACTGTTTTAACTCTTTCAGGTAAATTTCTAAGAAATTGTTAACTGTAACACCGGCGTGCCCGCGATCGTTGAGGGATTACCACTATTTACAATAAAATATAGATTTAAAGATTAAAGACTAAAGTAAGTATACAGAATAATAGAGCAATTATTAGTTCCTACCCTTAGGTATGTATTAATTACTGGTTCTATAAACTACTTTCGTTAGTTTTAATAACAGTCCCCAGAGAAATCTAATCGTCCCTTTTCCCTAATAGGTAGATAGGTACTTACTTAAGGATAATATAATTTTCTATTAGTGAAAGAATTTTTTGAATCGGATAGTAGATCCAGGTTTACTTACAACAAGTAACAGAATAATTTCAGATTTTTAAACCTACTAAATACAAATGCCAGTTATTGACGATAATACCTCATTGACCTTAAGCACAAAAGTCACTGATCACTGACATGATATCTACGAGAAATTTTATAAGATAATATAATCTTATAAAATTTTTTTTTTTTAATAGAATGAAAAAAATATTTGCATTTTGCTTTCTTATAAAAAATAGATCTCATCTGTTCTACTGATTTTTAATAAGAATAACTAAGCAAGGCACCACTGTTGCGGCGTTCTTGGTTATTGCTCAATACTGCAGAAAGTTTTATATAATTTAACAGAAGTACCCAACCTATTTCAGGACTTGGTTGGTTTGAGGATTTAATTACGATAGGTAGGTATACTTAGGTATCTCTTCGTTATATTTTATTGTAATAATTTTTTTATCAAATACATACCTGCAATATCCTACTTCATAAAAAATGTATGTAATATCCTACTTCCCTCATAGATATATATAATAAAATTCTAAGTCGAATCTGTACATTAAATATTTTTTGGAAAATGTTATTGAAATAGACATTATTATCGATACAGAGGCCGAATCTATAGTTTTTAGAATTTTTGTCTGTCTGTCTGTCTGTTTGTCTTTCTGGCTGTTACCGCCTCACGTAAAAACCACTGGAGGGATTTTGATGAAATTCGGTATGATGATAGGTGGTGGATCCGAGTCAACATATACATTACTTTTTATTGCTGGAAAATATCTCATTTCTGAGAAATCTATAATAAACCTGAAAACGTAACGCAGGGACGAACCCGAGCGGAGCGAGGATGCTGGGTGAGGCGCTCGTAACCTATAATATAGGGACCTAACCTTAAAAAAGATGAATAAAAGATCTAAGTTTAGATGAAAGTTTTTAAGATTTTAGTAATTAAGGAGGTATTAAAGGAAAGCTTACTTTTACATACAACCCTTACTAATAGCATAAATGCGAGAATACTTTCACATTTTCTTAGGTTGTCTTTATTTAAGCAGCAGCTGAAAAACGGATACGGATTGCAATAATTTTAACACAATAATTTACAATATTTTATGATTGGTTTCACATTTCAGTTCTTACTTACCTAAAAATTAATACCTACCTACCTAAAAATTGAATAGATAAACTTCCCAATTATTATACCTCTGAAACAAATGAAAGACTGCCATCAGCCATGTTATATTTTTGACCTTTCCGTTACATGCAGCTAATTATAGGTCATTTATACGTCAGATGTAACAGGAAAGTGAATTACAATAGCATTCCAATTTAAATATTTCTTTGGACGCGCGATTACCACATCAACCGCAACGATTCGCCTATTGATAGAATTATTAAGGGTTTCAGGGGATATTTTAAAAAGAATTATTTTTGGTGCACCGCAAGAACAGTATTTTTGCGTTATCCCACATTCGCGCGTGGAGTTATTAGTGCTAATGACAAACGGCCAGACGGCTACGTCTATTGTTAACGCTCAGACCACATCGCTTCCTTTAATTTTGTGTGGTTGTTACCAAACTAGGAAAGTTTTCTTATTGTTTCGAAATTATTTAAGATACCTACGTAGCTATACGTAGTTTATTTAATACTATTTGTTTGTAATTTTTTTATGAGAAAATATAAGCTAAAAATAAGCTTTTAAGGATACGAACTTAATTATTAGTTTTTACTGCATAGGTAGGTACGTATATAATAGACCTTTTTTTGTTTTCTAAACTATTTAGAATTTCAAACTTATAGAATTTAGAATCAACTATACTGTCCTCATAGCGCATTTAATGGGATAGTTAAATATTACAACACTAGATAAATAGAAAAAATCCTACTTCCAAATAGAAAAAAAAACAAAAAGCGTACCTATGCCTTAACCTCTTAAGAAAAAAATATATTTAACATATACAACCTTTGTTAGATTTTAGGGTTCCGTACCTCAAAAGGTAAAAAAGGAACTCTTATAAGATTACTCTCTTGTCCGTCTGTCTGTCTGTCCGTGTGTCACCACCAATTTTCACAGGAACAAGCGGATCTAGCAAGTTGAAATTTATACCAAATACTGAGGTCTATAGTCCCTATTAGGTGTATAAAAATCAAGGTACTGGTCAACACGATAAAAATATATCGGCAAATTTAGATTTTCGCGAAAACTTGGAAGTACCAAAATTTACTTTGATTTTTAACTTTTTTTTATTTTTCGGAATTTTCCCTTTACTTTTGCTGTAAGACCTTGCTTTTAACCAAAATTGACAATTCTAAGTCAACCGGAAGTACCCTATAGGTTTTGGTTTGTACAAGTATAAAGCTTTGAGCACGGCCGAGAACACCTTTATGTGTTTACACCAAAGACTAAAAATTGTAACCCACAAAATGTATGTTTTGAAAACCATTTAAGAATTATAAAATAAGAATAAGCTTAACCTTTCCTAAAACTCGCAGAATTTCTATACATAGTATAAAACATTAAGCATTTTATTATATTTTGTGGTTATCGTGCGTGTTCCATTATAATTCAAATGCGAATAATAAAATTACTTTGCGATTAGATTAACCTAAGTAACAAATTTCTAAATAACATTTTGGAACAGCTTCGATTTCTCAAATGTATAAATAAATCAAAAATACTACCAAGAATACCCATATAAAAAATATTAATGAAATTGCTTAATTTACATGTAGGTAGCTACTTAGGTACGGGATAAGCAAAGAGGACAAAATGTGTTGCTAGATTTCTTCTTTATATTATGGAAGTTTAAAAAATTGAAAATAAAAAATTGTATTTAAATCAAAAAGCATAATATAAATAAAATTGAATACCTAGTAATAAGTATTTAATTATATATATTTTTTTAAATTAAGTAGGTACATAGATACTTATATTTGCTGTTTGCAAACACATAATATTTT